GGATGTATACCATTGAGGCATAAATCTATTTGAAAGATTTGCTTATCTGAACTATCCTTATAATAATCTCTTGGGTATGCAACACATGTTCTTGTATATTTTAGACTGATTTGGAGTACTGTATATCCTCTCATGAACCAAAGTGTATTTGTGGGGGGAAAAAAGGCCCAGAGCCCAGAGTTAGAGACCTAATTCCGGTTTCATATCTGCTTGTACATAAACAGCCTTTATTATTAGGCAGGAACATATAGATACATAAAATCTTAATGTTCCCTGTCGGCATTGAACCCATTTATAGTCAAACTGAAATGACAGACAGAGGGCTAACAAGGCTGTTTTTCTAGTTAAACATTTAAAGCTGTCAGAGAAGGTGAAAAATGCTTTGTATACTTTCCTGTGGCCTTTCCTTCCAAAGAGGCTCTGTTGGGCAAGAAGGTGGCGGTGGGGGAGAAGCAATCCAGCACAGATCAAACCCGTAGCTTTTTCCATGTTCATTTTGTTTTTATTGTAAGATAAACCTTTCATGTTTTATTGTTATGAAGTTAAAGCCTGGCCTAGAGGTGCCAATCTTTAGTGGAAACAGCTGTAGAGTTAGTGTGTCTGATCAGGTGGGAGGCTCTTTGAAGCAACATGTTGCCTTTTTAAAAGGAAATTGAGTATGTGAGAAATTGAACCTGTAAAACTCATCAGCAGGCTCTGCCATTGTTTATCTGTAGTGTAACTTTATATGGAATTAAAGTGAAACACACTTTTCCTTTTGTTTCCAAGAAAGAATGACTTAGGGGCAGCCCCCTCCACTTCTTTGGAGATCCATAGGAAATGACCACATAACCACAACTACTTCCTAGTGGGATGATGATGAGTGAGAAATTATCCACAGTAACAGTTTCTTAACCAGGCAGGATAAAAGCTTAAAAGTAGTTAAGGCTTCTGGTTTTATGTTTAAAACCAATATTTAGGGGCAAACACCAGCCAGGAAAAAGCAGAGTCACTGTAAATAGTGGTTTGTGTGGGTGGGGAGAATATCTGAACACTTCCTACTGTTACGGATCTTAACATTTCCCTCCAGTTGTGAGTTCAGCAAAGTTTCTAGCCTATTCGCCAGTAGGAAGTGGAGTGAAGCTTGACAGCTTTTGGGATGGGAAACAGGGGTCAGCAAAACTCTGAAATTCTGCCTCTCTGGCTTCATGTTGGTTAAACTTCCTCATGTAGGTGATAAAAAGCAATAATTGTCAGATTTCTGCCCTCATTTATCTCTCTCACTTCCTAGACCTAATTCAAACCTTACCGCATTTTCTAGTACTGATCTGCTATTTTCTTCTTCTAGATTAAATTGGATGCTGTAAGTAGCCTCAAAGATTGACACTATGACATTCAACAAAAGGTGGTCATAAACCAGATTTCTTGTCCCTTCCCTGAAGCCCAGGCGTATCATCATCATGAGGAGTTTTAATTCCAGCAGCCCAGATAGTGTTACCGCATCTGAACTTTCAAAAAAGAGGACACTCCTGTGAGGGAGTGTATCCGTATCTACCAACTCATGATGTATTAATGTGTGTTATAAAAATATATATTTTTAATATAATATAGAAAAGCACTGGGGCTGCTTGGCTGCTGTCTGGGGAACCCCTTGCAACAGCAGGGCCAGGCAGGGCAAAAGCTCCACATTCACTACCTGGTCCTGCTAATGCCTGAGGTTCTCTGACTGGGGCAGGGCTCTTTACCCCTCCTAGCCCCGCTGATGCCAGGGGTTCCCCAGCTGGGCTGGGGCTCCCCAACAGCCACCCGGCCTAGCCTCTACTGGCCTAGCCAGGGCTCCCTAGCCTGGTGTTCTCCCCCGGCTGGCTCCCACTTTCTGCCTCTGGGGCTCTTTGGTCCAGCAACATCTGTGGCCCTGCTAGACCATGGATGTTGCCGGAGCGGAGACCCGGATTTGGGAGGTTCAACTTGTAAGTTCATTCTATAGTTTTCCTGCCAGCCAGCTAAGAAGCAGAATTGAACAGAATTTGTTTAGGCCAGTGACTGAGTGGGGGAAAGAAATTGAGGGGAATCTTAGTGATTCCAACAATGATGGAAGAATCCTAAAGCTAAATGGAAATTTTTACTTTGGGTTTATTCCTCCTTTTTCATCCAAGTGTATAATTCTTAATTATTACACCCTTCAAAACTGATCAGTTTGTCACAGCACTGGCAAAGTAAAATAAGGGTTTGACTGATCTCATGGAAAATGTGGTGACATTAGCATCTACTTGGGCATTGCATGTGGCGGATGCAGAATTTGTCATTCTACAAATAATTTCTCATTGATTGCCTAACTGTTTGGATTGGTAGAGAAAATTCTTCTTGGACAGGAAGCATAAAGCAGTATCGCTGCATGACTACCTTTCTCAGCTGGAAAGTTAAAACAACGCCTAGTACACTCTGTCTGATTTCAGAGTCACATTTTATCGTCCAGCAATCAAATGAAAACAAAAAGACAGCATAGCCACCTTTGGTAGGGTAGGATTGTCAGAGGGAGTCCTGGGTCAGAAAACTAAACAGTTTGTACATTTGATGAATGTTTATAGATAGTAATTATCCTTAATAGCACAAACATACTATTGGAACCAACACCAGCTGTGCTATTGCAAAGATATTGAGGAGAAGCTCCATTTGGGGAAAAGCCATTGCTAATGGTGATCTACTGTTTTTCTTGCAGATTGTGCATCACAGGCCAGAGTTTATATTTAATGTGAATGGTTAGAGTTATTTACACAAGATCCTAGCAAGTATTGTGTTAGTGTCCTGAATTCAGAAAATGCACAGAAATCTGACCAAGTACTAAAGAGCACTGAGGAGTTCAAATTGTCTCAAGTTATGCAAATTGTACATGGCTGAGGAGAGTGAAAATCTGGTCTTCTGTGAAATGTTCAGTTGCTAAGATGTCAAGGGGGGGGTTGATGTCAGGACCACTTGACAAGCTGTCATCAAACATCTTCTCTTGTAGTTTCTCTTCTCTCTTGTTTTGAAATCCTACCCTATAATAACCATAATGTCCTAATAAAGTAGTTACCTCTGTGTTTGGTTCAGTTCAAACTCAATAGTAGAATGAAAAGAGCTTTCAGAAACAATTCTTGTTTCAAGCTCTCATGATAACGGGTTAACTTCGGTTCTCTGAGAGCAAAGGTCAGTTTTCTCTGTTCAGACCAATTCATTATCTCTCCTCCTAACATGCTTTTTATTATAGAAAAACACTGCACTTGCGATGCTTCATAGATTATTTGCTAAGGCAATGAAGTGCAGAGCTGCTTATTGGAGCAAAGAGTGATGAAAGAGTGGGAGCTATCACTACTTACTTTTTTCTTTGCAGGCAGTGTAAATTGGCTTGGAGTGGAACAAAACAAAAAGGGAAGCTCAGTCCACATGAAAGACAGTGTAGTGTAGATGTATGTGATTTTTTTTCCCCTGTGTTGTCCACTCTAGACCCTTGCTTAGTTGCTTTAAGTTCCAATCCGTAGTAAGTACTTATTCAGAGATTCATGTAAAGGAGCTATTCAGTACAATATAATCCTTCTAGGTATAAATTGTTTAAAAAAAAATCCTAATGCAAGATTAATTACTGTCTCTCTTACTTCTAAGTGTGTTTGAAACTTTGCTCATTTTCTAGATGAGTGCATATGTGGCCAATTTTGCTATTACACCTTTGCAGTCCCCACTAAAGTTAGTGTCCTTGCCCCATGTGATTGAAGGCAGAACTTTCCCTTGGGTCTTGAATGTTTAGCTATTTTGTTTCATGGTTCTTGAAAGTGCACAAATCCTCTGTCAAAACTTCCCTTCGTCTTCCAGAGAAAAGTTTTTTCTTTGAGTTACCGAAGTGTTTTTCTGAACCATACTAAGGCTTTTTCTACACTTAAGTTTAAGGCACTGACTAAAAACTGAAAGCGTGGCCATGACATGAATGCTGGGAGATTGCTGCCCTCAGCCCCCTTTGTAAGCCACCTTCACAAGGGGAGTGGCTAATAGCACTGGGACTGACGCTCCTTGAGCTATAGCCTGATTCACACTGTCACGGTACAGCACTGTAACTTGCTGTGCTCAGTGGAAGGGGTGTGTGTTCACATTCCTGAGCTAGAAAGTTACAGCACTGTAAAGTGTCAGCTTAGACTTAACCTAAGTAATTTCCCAAGTGGTGATGGAGAAATTTTGAGCTGCTCCAACTCAATCAGTGTGGAGTATGACTTTTCACATCCTAATCTGTTTGTTTACACTGACTAATGAATGCCATGGCTGTAACAAAAATGCAGCCCTGAGCTTTCTTTCCCAAGATACAGAATAATGGGAAGCATCTTAAGTTTACTGCCCTGAGGACATGCATTGAAGTAGAGTAATAAGAATTACTTGTAGTACAATAAGATATTAATCTGCAAACCTAAAAGGTAACTAACTTGGTTTTGCAATGGAGGAGGAACTGTGTCCTTGAGCTTTCTTCTTCTGACAGTGAAGCAAATTATAACTTTATTGAAGTTGGTGACACCATTTCCATAAATCTTGCCAGGACCAGAATTCACTCTATAACAGGGGTGGGGAACCTTTTTTGGGCTGGGGGCCACTGACTTACATTAAAAATCAGTTGGGGAGTCCCACACAAATGAGAAGCCCCTGAGTGAGAGAGGAGAAGTCACTCCTCACATTCCCCCCCGCCCACCAGAGCCTAGGGGGTCCAAGTCTAGTAGATTTTGTATGTTCCAGCACCACCCCTGCTCTAGAACAATAAATAGTAGGGAATAGGTATTGGTCTCTTGTATGCGCGCACACACACAAGAGACTCTCTCTATATAGATAGATAGTGTTTAAATCTTCACACACAAAAAACCTATAACCTACTTGCTCCTTAGGTGTGGCGAAACCTAAAAGTTTGTGATGGCAGGCCTCAGCTAGAACAAATAATGAAAAGAATGGAGTTGATTTCCATTTGTATATATTGTCTAGCTTCTTCCTTACTCCTTTTTTTCTATTTGCAGGTGCTGGTTTTGGATTAGGAATTGTTTTCTCAGTCATCTTCTTTAAAAGTAAGTGTCCCTATGTTGTTAGCTGTTTGTTGTCATATTAGTTTGTTTGGGTACACCTCTTAAACTGAATTCTTTGAAGTATGTAAATCTTGCTTAGTATGTTATGCCAACTTGTGTATAACTATTTACACAATTATTTACTACTGGTGTAAATAAATTGATGTGAAATTACCTAGACCCAACTACATACAGACTTTGAGATTCCGGTTCAAACTAGTCATAAAGGAAAAATTCTCTTATTTAAATTATGAGCAGATCTGGAAGATAGCAGAATACAATGGACCAGAGCCTCTGCTGGTGTAAATTGACATAAGTCCATTGAAGACACTGGAGCTATGCCATTTTACACCAGCTGAGGATCTGGCACTGTGGCCTCATCAATACTTGTAGAGTACTTTGAGATCCACAGATTGAAATGGCTAGGATAGTTTAATGTGACTTCCTTAAATACAGCAGATTTATTCCCATTAGACTGTAAATGACACTTGATGCCTTCTAATGCCGTTTTTAAAGATACTTTTTGAGGAGACTTCAGAGTACATAGTACCTGAAAATGCACAGTTCATGTTTTCCCATAATCTACCACTTCTTGGCATTTGTTTAGTAAAAAGTTGTCATCATAGCTTGAAATTAATGCAGTATTCTTCTTTTTGTATTCAATATTTCTAGTTTCTCTCCTTCTCTTTCTTTCACACAGGAAAGACGTGGCCTATTGCTTTTGGGTCAGGGATGGGGTTAGGAATGGCTTATTCCAATTGTCAGCATGATTTCCAGTCTCCATATCTTCTCCATGGCAAATTTGTAAAAGTAAGTTTTGGAGTAAAATACATATGTATGTTAAGAACCGTTCAGTTTTTAAATAGTCTTGCTCCTGTTTAAAATGACTGCAGAAGAAATACATTGCTACTAGCTGGAGGAGATCTCCTGTATGGTATTTTTTTTCAAACTTTTCAGTTTCTTTCAAATATTTAATGTACTCTTTACTTATGATTAAACCTACTACACACCCTCTCTTTGAGGACACTGAAATCTCCATTGGGTCAGCTTACATGCTGCAGGTGGTTTTTCTACAATGTACAAGTGTGTAAGAAATATGGAAAAATCTGGAAAATTAAAGTACCCTAAACAGTATGGCCCTACTTTTGCAATCGTATTTGAGGGGAGGAACTCTTTGCTTATAGATAGGACCCTTTGACTTGAGTGGGGCTCTGTACGGGGCTCTGTACTGGTGGATCTGATGGAAGTATTGGGGCCTAAAATTCTCCTTTGTCTTCAAGTATGTACAGGAACTCTTGACTGAGCATGTGAATTTGGAATCATTAGAATCTAGAAATAGCTCACTGTAAAAGGGTCAGTTTATGACTGGGTACACCCTCTCTAAAGAGAGTTATGTTGTGAGTTGGGTGAAAACTGATACTAGAGAAGTGGCTGGTGCAATTTAATTTTATTATAATAGACGTGATTGTGGTCACACGATGTGCCCACCTTAGAATGATCTTGCATTGGTGGTAAAAATCCCCCAGTCCATCACATAGAAATTAAACACAAATAGGGGGTACTTCTGTGGAACATACAGAGAACATTGTGAAGGGCTTTATCATTGAAAGCACTGGTAGTAGGGTTACATTCTAAAACATCAAAGTGCTAGTTTAAAACCTTCTGCCAGAAAACTTAGAAGTGACCTATCAAAAGGGGGAAGGGGGGATAGGAAGATAGTCCTGTGCTTTTTTTCTTGATCCTTCATGATTGCTAAAAAAGGCCTGGAAGGGTTTTTCAGCTAATCATCCCTAAATGTATTGAGGGATTAGCCTTCAACAAGCTTCTACAGTCCTAGCAAACCCACCCACTTCAGAATATTGAGCTGTAAATATGCTCGGCCAATAACTGGGTTTCGGCCCTTTACAGATTTTTTTTAAAAAAATTCCTTTATATTGGAGAAGTAGATGGAATAAGATTACAAACATGGAGAAGCTGGCATCTTACATGAGTGAAACAAATGCAACCCAGTAACATTTTAGATCCACCTTGGAGTGTGTAACCATTGTGGGATGTCCTCTTGGTTTTGTGGACTTCAGTCAGAAATAAATTGGAAGGAAATTTCTCCAATGTGGGGACTCTGGGGAGTAATCACCTAATCCAGAAAGTCTAGGAAACAGTCTGTCCCTTGGAAGATGCTTATTATGGCAAAATAACTGCTTGGGAACATTGGGCAATAGAAGGCTGACTTGAGCTTGGCAAGGGTTTATATTTGTTTTAAGGAATAATCTCCACTCTGTAGTGAGGGTGGTCTCTAAGAATGAGGTCATCAGAGGGACACTGTGTGCAGAAGAAGCACAGCTGCCTGCGGGGCACTAGAGCTGAGGACAAAGTTTCCAGCACACTCTGTTGGCTTTCCCTGGCACAAAGAGTCTGAGCATGTTGGAGGGAGGAAGCAAGGAGATGAAGCCCATATAATGGTTAATACAATTAATTCCAAAATGTATAGTCATGGGTAAAAGTTCCAGAGTTATTAAAATGCAATTATTTCATGTCTGGTGGTTAGCACTGTGGAAAATATTGTTGCATTATCACACTCTCCCTAGAAAATGATGTTGGAACTTGATTTCAGCTTTCTCATATAGCACTAGAACCCATTCTTTGGTTTGTGAAAATGAGTGGGGAGTGTAGTAACAGCCGGATAGGATAGAACTCATATCAATCTAGACACTGTCCCCAAAGTATCCCCAAATATATTCTGTAAAGTTCTTCTAGTTGTGACATAAAGTGTGAGACCAGGATTTGGGCGACCTGTGTTCTATTCTTAGCTTTACAGCACACTTCCTGTGTGAATATTTGTCTGTATGTAATTTTTTTTCCTGTGGGACAGAGTGATATCGTCATGACCCAGGGTCCACAGGCTGGGGGAGTAGGCATGGGTGGGTAAAGCCCAGCCCTGCCTCTTCATTCATGGAGCCAAGCCCCACCTACTGCTAGCCCAGCCCTCACTGGAGGCACCAGAGTCAGACCTGGCACCACTTCATCTGGGCAGCAGTGTGGGGATTAGGGTTAGGCTGGGGGGGAAAGGGCTGGGGAGGGTGCAGAAGGGGGAAGGGAAAAGGCCCAGGTTAGCATGGTGGTGGGGAGCTGGGGTGACCTCCCCTTCCCCCCCTCCCCAAGAGAGGGGTTGGTGAGCATATTGAGCAGTGGGCACAGCCCCCTAGTAGGTAGTTAACCTCTCCATGCTTCAGCTTTTCCACCAATTCAAGAAGGATACAGATTCTAACCTGCCTCCTGCAGGTGCTCTAGGCCAGTGTTTCTCAACCAGTGGTACGAGTACCATTGGGGTACTCGAGAAGTCTGAGGGGATACGTCAACACAACTGAAATTTGGAGAAAACTGAATTTTTGTTTTAAGTTACAGCACTTTATTATTTCTGTACTTTTTACACCCAAAAATTTCATCGCCCCCCTGGCTATGATTAAGTTGTTTTAAACAAATGTGTTGCAATGATAGAGAAATGTATATGTCTGAAAAGTGTAGGTACTTATAATTTTTTTAAAGGGGGTACTTTATAAAAAGGTTGAGAAACACTGCTCTAGGCTTAATTGCTTGCTTTGAGCATCTTTGGATAAAAAATGCTAAAAGATACAAAATGTTATAGGAGTCTTCTTGCTTTACAGGAACAGTGACTAATAACTAAGAACATCCCAGTGGGACGAAAGGAGAAATCATGTTATTCCTCAGGAATATTGAAGTGCCCCTGGAGTAAGCCAATGTTCTTCTGAAACACTTATCAGTTGCTCTTTCTACTCCAACAAGCTGCTTATGTACTTGAAACAAAGTTCTGTATCTTGTTTTGTATTTTTCTCTCTGAAAAGTGCAAGGAGGAATTCTTCTGAGAAATAAAAGAAAAGTGGACACCCCTGCCCCCCCAGTGTTTTGGCTTTTTTGCTTTGCATATGAATGGAAAGTGAGGACTCCCATTGTAATACTAGCAGCTAGAACCACCTGGTTAAAGCTGCTGCTCAAGTCCTTGTGAAAGGACAGCTGTCCTGTGTTTCTTCCCATTCAGACAGGCAGTCCCCACCAAACACATGGTTCACAGAAAGCTCCCCACCTCACCTCGCTTCCTGGATCTTACTCCTTGGGCTGGTTTTAGGAGAAGCACAGGTTCAAGTCCTGTCCCAACAGCAATTGCTGTGAAGGCCTACATTCTGTCCTCTCCAAACAGACGTGTAGGAAAGTGCAAGTCTGACTGGTTTGCTGTCTCCCCTAACTGATGCTGCTGTTTTAATCTGTAAAGGGTCTTGAGAAACGATTCCCTGCATAGTGAGCTAATGAAATAGATGCATGTGCTTTCTGATAGAGCTTTACTCCCCCCTCCCCTCATTTTTGGAATGGGACAAAGATGGTACTTGTAGTTCTTTATGCTTAATTGTTCCAGCTTTTATCTGGAGCTTAATATTTAGTTTAAGGTAAACAGACTTTTTTTCTTGAACACTTTTTTTAAGTGCACTCTGTTGTCAGTCTGCTCTCCTCTAGTTGATGTTTGGTGGAAGAGTCTCTCTTGCATCATCTCCACCCAGAAGAGGTACCAGCTGCTAACGGCTACTCCTGTAGACTTTTTTTTCTTTCACTGAACTCAGATGTATTCTTCTGTTGAGGCATTTGCTGCAAACATTGTCCTTTTATAACACAACCTGAGAATACTTGCTGTTGGAGAGCTTCCTGCCCCTCTCTTGGTGTATGTGGTCTATCACATATTATATGTCTACACCACCAAGGCATCTTCTGCAATAAAGGGATAATTTTATATAGGGCTTATTTTATAACCCTGATTTTTTTCCCTATACTGGTAACTTTTACACTAATGTTAAAAGCCTGTGTAAATATATTTTCTTTTTGAAAATTTATTGTGCTCCATGGTGAGCCAGGCAGAGGAAAGAATAACTTTCTCTCCGAAAAGAACACACAATGGAAAATAAAATTGCACAATGCTTTTCAAAACCTTGCCAAAAAAGGAAGGATGAGGGTAGACTTTGAGAAGGTGCTTAGAGATCAGAAAAAGCTTGGAAAGTGCCTTCCTGATATTGCGCAACAGGAACTGGAGATGGTATGGGTGCTTCAGTAATCTTCCCTCACCCACATCCCTTTAGAGGGGCTTGAATACAAATTTCACTTGCCAAAGATACATGCCAGGCATACCCAAAATGAGCACAGATTCACTGGATAAAACAGTTTCTGTGCCAAAGCAGAACTGGACCCTACCAAACCATGATGCCATCCAGCACCATTGCTAGAGTATGTCCTTGTTTTTTCTACCTCCTCCTCTCCCTTGCTGGGCAGCATTAATCAGTCATTAAAACAGTTTATTGGAAACAGTCCCTTTTTTTCTTTCCAATTTTGAATCATTTTATCCGGCCCCAATTTTTAATTTGAGCTGTGTACTTTGGAGCCACAGCTCCTCTGTGGTTTGGAGAGGTTTTCGGTGTTTTGTTTTTTTAAAATTCTCTTTTGCTGCAGCACTAGTAAGCTGGGAAGATAATGGATTTAGCCAGAGAGAAGAGCATCTGACTGGTGTAGGACAAAAAAAAAAAATCTTAAAGTTGTGGTACCTTAAGACAATATTCTG